TGCTTGGGCGGGAGTTTGGACTAGTTGACCTACAAGGTCCCTTCAACTCTGATTATCTGTATGTGTATCTGTAGTTATGAAAAGGAGAATATGGAATAAAGAAAGAAGATTGGCTCCAATGGTTTTAGGAGACTGCAAGGTTTTGTTTACCTAGAACATTCCCAAGGCAGTAATCAGTACTGTATTAGCTCCAAACGTTCTTTTGGCTAAACACTGAATCCAGGCATACTGGATGGCTGGATGCTCCCAAGACGCTGCAGGAAGGCCTCCTAGGCCCAAAAAAGGGCCTAGCAAGCCTCTCTGGGGCCTCCTAGGAGCAAAAATGGGATGTGGGGGACAACAGCGGACCCCCCCCACCCCGTTTTTGGCGTAGCAAACCTTCCTGGAGTCTCCTAGGAGCAAAAGCAGGGTGTGGGGAGGCAGCACTGAACCCCCCCCCCCCCGGTGCCATTTTTGCTCCCGGGAGACTACCCTACACTTACCTGGGAGCCAGTCAGGCCTTGTGGGGACTACTAGGAGGGGAGGGGAGGGATGGGCGGGCTGTTCTTCAGAACTACCAGTTCATTGAACTGGATATAAAATTAACATCCGGTTCACCCGAACCAGCCTGAACTGGTAGAATCCCACCTCTGCACACGCTTCCAGATTCAGCTTATGGTCACTCGTTCATACACTTATAGCCGTGGAAAATTGGCACACTCAAATCACTTTTAATTGAATATTGAGGAATAAATGGAGATCCAATTAATTTTAAAAAACCGCAAACTTTACTTGTTACAATGTATATCTATTTACTCTTTCACACATGCATGGGCGCTCCTCCACACTTATCCAAGTCCTAGCCAGAGGTACAGACTCTGCCAAGTCTTGGTCCAAAGACAACTCAAAGAGTTAAGTGTGCTTGAGGACCCCTTCTATTTCCCAAAGTCCTTGCTTTGTTCAGGTAATATTGTAGAACTTGGAGATGATTTCTCATGTGGTCAGGCCCAACGTTTTTTGTCTGATTCAGGTGACATTTTTTCTTTTGTTTCCTTAAAGACATGGTTCCTTCTTAGGTACTTTTCCTGAGGGAGCTAGACTCAGACTTGCTGGCTTTTGTCCCTCAGCCTAGTTGAGAATATGGGTAAGTGTGGATGAGTGTGTGGATGTTATGCGCATGCGTGTGCATGTGTGAAAGAGCAAATAGATATACATCTTTTTTAAAAGTTTGCTGTTATTTTAAATTCACTGACTCTTCAACACTTCGTATTATATCTTACATTATTCTACAGTATAGTCATTTAAATTAATCTGGTACTTTGGGTGGAGGGTTATTAAGAGGATTTTCTTTAAAGTTTATTCAGAAATTATTGATATTTTAAAGTGTATCCTTAGTATTTTCGCTGGTAAAATGTAAAATTGTGATTTCACATCTCAAATTAACACTATAAACAGAATGCTTTCATGGTTAATAAGTATGACCCTATTGGCTAGTGCTAATCCTGTGTCCCTGTTCTCTAATATACAGCATTGCATGCTGAAATCTGGGAAATTTGCTAATCTGTAGTTTACCTGTGCCCTATTGGATATTTGTTTGAAAATATACAGTAGTCCTTGATACAATCATAATGAAGCCTGCCTGTCATAATGTTACCTCATTTATGTTAAATGAACGGGCCCCATCCCTCCTCTCCCCAATGCATTTGTTAATCTGTGAGTCATTAAGTGTGCATGGGGTTCCTAGGTAATGAAGACCTAGGAGGGGGCTAGTTCAGTTGCCTCCAGCCACTCAAGGCCTTCCCCAACCCACTGAGATATCTCATGGTCACTTCCGACCCTTGGGGTTCCTACGGCTACTTTGGCCTTCTCCACACCAACCCCCTATTATCAATTGTTCACTTACCTTTTGAAGATTTCCAAAGCTCCAGAACAGATTGGGCCATGTCGCAGAAAAGTGATTCACTTTTTCTCAGATCTGGTAAAGTTAGGGCTTTTTTACTTTTTAGATCTCACATTCTTACATACACTCTTTTTTTTTTTTTTTTTTTGCAACAGATGGACTTGTCTGTGAAAACTGTCACATCTCTGTAGGCCTCCTTTACTACTGGGTAACTGATTCAAATGAGTAACTTTGGGGATTACAACCTGAAAACTAGTTTTGACTGGAGGAGACAAGATGTGCGTAGGTGGTTTGGCAGCTGTCCAGGGTGGCAGCAGGAAAACTGAACTCACAGCAGCATTGTTGCCAGGGATGGCCGAGCCCCTTGCAGCAAGCTAGGTCAGTGCAGCCGCTGGGTGCCAGGCCTGAGAGCCCTGCATTGCCCGTGTTTGCTTGCCTCTGGTGAGCCCAGTTCGGAGGAGGAAGAGGAGTTAGAACTGGGACCGTCCAACAGTCTGAGAGGGAAGGCACTCCAGGGACTGAGGACAATGTTGTCCTGGGCCCCTCAGGCATTGAGGGAGGTGATCAGCCAGACGGAAAGCTGCCTGCCTGCATAGACACAAAAGGATCAGTTGCTGGTCTCCTCTGAGGAAGAATTGCTCTCTACTCCACTCAATTCAAGGTCAAGGAGAGCAAAGTGTAGACAAGCCCAAAGAAGGGCTATAAGACTACTTGGAGAAGGTCACTCCACCCCTCCTCACAAGAAACATCTGGAGGGAGTAACTTCAGGAGAAGCCATGGAATTTTGCCAGGAACAGTTGTTTGCTTTGGCTTACACTCCCCCAGCTTCAACTCGTGCCTGTTGCTTTTCGCTTTGCTTCACTTAGAAGATTGCTCTTCAAATTTTGTTTTGGACCTATCCTTCTCTTTGTAGCCTGCTTTTGGCCTTTACTTCACTGTGCCTTTGGACTGTTTCTTGCCTGGGACCTGCTTTTTGTCCTGAGGACTGCCCTTGTGCCTGGACTCTGCCTTGTGCATTGGACTTAGAACCCTGGACCTTGCCCCATGAGCCAGCTCCCAGTCTGTGGGCTTTCTTTGTACTGCTGGGACTGTGTTTGGGACACTGAGGGGGGCTGCCTTCAGGGTAGTGTGGGGGTGGAGCCTTACCAGTCATTGGAGGGCTATTGACTGGAACATTTGTTGAGAGAAATAAAGAACTCTCTAGAAGCTGGCCTGCCTGCCTTTGACCACCTGGGTCATAACATGGTGCTTTGGGTGCGAGAGCATGGGCTGGGCTTTCTTGCAGCAGAGAGCACATATCTCCACGGCTGCCCAGATCCCCATGAAAATCCCCTCCTTCAGGGTCTGCAGCTGCTTATTCACTAGATCTCCCCTGCGGCAGACCAAACTGAAGCTCCAAGCTCTCCATTTCTTCTTTCTTTGGCCTTCCTTGGCAACAGTGCTACTACAAGGAGTTTGGTTCTCCTACTGCCATCCTGGCCAGCCACCACCCACCCACATCCTGCTGCCTCCTATAGCCAGAACTAGCTTTTGGACAGCAATCCCCAAAGTCATTCATTTGAATCAGAAACCCAGCAGCACAGAGAGGGTACCTGCAGCAGTGTCCAAACGGGATCAGAGGAGGTCTGTGAGATCTCACTTTCTCACAGACAATTCCATCTGTGTGCAGCATATGTAAAGACTTATGGCAGTGATGTAATTTTGAACTGTTGCTAAGTGAACTATTATAATTTGAAGATTACCTGTACAAGATTATGACATCCTCAGGGATGTCAAACTCTCATCATGATGGTGGTGTCATGTGATGTATTGCAATTCCCCCTCACCTTTGCTAAACCGGGCATGGGCATGGCCAGCGCATAACACAGGCAGGCCACAAGTTTGGCAGCCCTGATCTACCTTGTGCAGTATCACCTAAATTTAGAGAAGGCTTTGCTATGCAAACTAGCTCTAGAGCATATTCAGAGTCAAAAAGAAATAAATATGCACAACAACATTCATCTCCTGATCAAACTGAAGAATAAAATATATTTTCCAGTATTTTTCATTTTGTCTTAAGCTTACTCTTAAACCTGAGATTTCATTTAGTTTTTATGCATAATATTTATTGATAGTCAAATTTATTGACCTTTTTAATTTTTAATTTGACTTTACACAAAATGCAAAAGTGAGAGAATGATGCTCTCTGCAGAGTTGAGTATAGAAAGTAAACTAACCTTTCCCCTACTTCCCCTATACTTGTTAGATTTGTGGAGGTTGGACAATATAGTGTGCCAAAGTTTCCTAAATGTGTTTATGAGATCACCAGACAATAATAGTATACATGGCAGAGGTACAATTAAAAAGCTACTGATCTTGAAGAAACATTGCTGTCCACCAGCAAAATAAAATGTGAGTAAGCTAGAAGGCTATTGGAATAGTGGGCCTCTTGTCCAGAATGAGATTATTTATTATCATTAATAAATTGTGAATTCCAAATTGTACTGGCAAATTCTACCAGAAAATGTCAAGATATTGTCCATGAAGTGAAGCTTAAAAGTAGGTTAGTTATGCAGCAAAACAACAGCCCAAAACACAAGTTCTACAATCACAGAATTATTATAGCAGAAGAAAGTTAATATTCTTGACCTTAATCCTACAATAATTTTGTGGAAGGACCTGAAGTGGGCAGTCTGCTCAAAAAAGTCCACTATTACTCCTGAGGTGAAACTGTTCTGTAAGATTAGTCGGCTAAAATACTTCCACGCTGCTGTGTAAAACTAATAAACAATTATTGGAAATGTTTATACTTACATTTTCAGCATATTTTACTGTAAGAGTGTATAAAATCTTCCAGCTACATGCTACTAGCCATTCAATATTATGTAGCTCTTATTTTACCAAATTATTTTCCCTTTTACAGATGTACTTTTTGTTTTTAATCCTACTTTAGAAATAGACTAGGTTATCTTCACTATAACTTGGTAAACTGTACTATATTTAACTCTTTGAAACTTGGTGTTTGAACACAGAAAATGAAATTTTAAGTTGTGGACATTAGATTAAATCATAATCTAAAATAATTATTTGGATTTGGAAGGAAAAAGTGCAGAATTCTTATTTTTATATTTTTATTTTTCAGATTGCAAACAATATTTGTGAAATTTGATGAAATAAAAAATAGTGACAGAATGATTTCAAGCAGTATCAATGGTGAGTATGTGACTTTGGTATTAAAAGATAATCAATCCTAAATGAATATGTAAAATTAGTTTAGAGTCTCTTATAATCTTAACTGTCACAAACATTAGATGTTAGTAAATATCGTTGAAGAAAGTGTGTACTCTTTAAATACATCACATAAACTTTATGAATGTTTTGAAATTTCATTATTTAATTTTATGATCATTTGTACTCCTTGATGCTTCTGTTTTGCTTGTAATTTCTGAAGCGTTAAAGGTAGAAGTGATTTTTTTTAATTGTTATGTAACATAGCATTTAATGGTTTGGATTTAAACTCAAGAAGGCCCAGGTTCAAATCCTCCATCAGTGAAAGAGTTCATGGATGATCTTTATTCAAAGTCTTCAGTCTCCTCAATATAGTCCATGTAAAAAAAATGTTACAGTCTGAAACACCCACAAGGATGTTTTTCCAGTTTTCCTGAGCATCTCCTCTTCAGGATGTAAATATAACAGATATATAAAAATAAGAAATTACTATTTTCTCACTGTTTGAGAAACCTTTTTTGCACTTTGATCACTTTTACACAGTTTATGGAAAATCTTGCCTCTAATAGCTTATTTATGTCAAAGTACAGTATAAATCTATATATTGTTAAAACTCTAATGTCTGTTTGTTAGTTTGTTACCTTCAATCGGCTAAATTGGAAAGTATACAGCAACAGTTATTGAACCAGAGTAACTCAAATAACCTACTTTACAGAATGCTAGAACCTGTGACTCCAGTGCAAATTAAATTTGGGGAAGGTGTTGTCACTTCAGTAGCAATGTGTTGCTACTCTTCCTCGTTGCTGCTGCAGTCAGCTAAAATCATGTGATCCTCATTCGTTGACAGCCTCCCACAAATTGATGGGGAAGCCCGAAGGAATTGATATGATTGCCAGTGTTGGTTACCAGCTTCCTACTAACAAAGTCTTTGCAAGGAGAAATTAGGTGGAGAACCTGGTAGGGAATGTATTAAGTTCCTTGATAAGTCTTCTACTACTTCTACACATTCTCAACTAGTCTTGTCAATTCCTCTGCTCATGCTATGCCTAGCCACTCAAGCAATCTCTGCTCTCTTTCTCATCTGGCAACAGCTATACCAGAAGGAAAGGAAAGGAATGGAAAGGAAAGAAAAAGAAAGTAGAAAAGAGAAAAGAGAGGGAAGGGGAAAGGGAAAGGTGTTTCCAATGCTCCCTACCAACATTCCACAAGCAAAGTCAGTGGGGAAGTTGACACTCTAACAGGATCTGCAGCATGCCCAGTCTGCTGGATCAAGTTGGACAAATAAAGACAATTCCACGATAGCCCAATCCCAAGCCATGTAGGTTTTTAAGGTGACAACCAACACCTGGAATGGCACCTGGAAATACACTAGTGCCAGTGCAGTTCATGTAATAGTGGTGTTATACTCTGCAGTGTATCCAGCATCATTTTCCTGTGTAGCCCCATTGTGCACCAGTTGAAGTTTCTGAATGGTTTTCAGAAGTAGAGTCACATGTACAGTGTGTTGCAGATTAATTTAAGTGAGAGGTTACGAGAGCATGAGTGACGGTGAGAAAGCCTGACCTTCTGATTACTCCTTACTGAGAATTGCAGTATTCAAAATCACCTCTTCCCCATAAGTACACAAGTGTGTGAAGGTTGTCTTGGGTCCTTCCTAGTCTCCACTTCAAAAAACAGGGAGCAAGCAGAGACACCAAATAACCAGCTTTGATGGTAAAATCTGCTGTTCGTCGATGGGAACAAGAGTCATCCACCATTCAGGATTCTATGTTGGTGGAATATATGGAGAAGAAATTATTTTATTTTTAATGATGTAGCCTGAAGAACTAATGCAATCTACTGATAGTGACTGAACCAATTTTGTTATATCTTATCCCAAGAGTTTAGGAATTGGTTAGGCTGAGAGATATAACCCACTTCCCATTTTCCAGTGAATTATATGAGTAAGGAAGAATCTTAATATACATCTTGGTTCTTACTTTAGATTGGCATTTCAACTGCAATTATAAGCAACGTCCTCTTATTCAATTTGTTTCTGCATCATTTTTGCAATATATAAAAGATTACTAGACCTTTTTTCTTAAGGGAAGCAGGATCACAATACATATGTTGGTGAAAGTATATAGTCTGTCAAGATTTGAACAAAAATCTCTGCTGTTAAGTTTATGAGTCTACCTCAGTATAAAAATACATTTTAACTATAGGCCCTAATTTAAATGGCTTGCTGAATTAAATATGTAATTTGCAAACATATGTATGTGTTTTGAATTGTGCTTTTATTTTATATTTGTAAAACTTTGGTGAGAAATGTATTCTACTTTTATGAACATCTATGAAATGGGGGTCTTGTTGGCAAGCAGCACACCACAGACTTGCTCTTATTATGTGGTTGATTCAGATTTATGTCACTGGCTTTATCCGAAACAGTGGTACAGCTTTCTTTGTACAGAAAAGCCTTTGAGAGTGTGCCTTTGACATGATTGTTTACAACAGCCGGAGATAGTTGTGTACAATTGGAGACTGAGAACACAGAAGAAAAGCAACGGAAAGACAGGGGGAGGGGGGAACCAAACAAAAATGCCATACATGTTCTATTTCTGCCTTATATGATTGTTTGTAAATATTTTATTTTGCTGATCTTCTTTGGCTGTAATAAGATTTCACTAGATTCTATTACACCAGTATAAATCAGATAATCGTTTTGGTCATGTGACTAATCCTGATTATACATGAATCCTTAGGGATTGTAAGCAAGACATGTTTCCCAAACACATGCCTTGTGTTTTGATGATTGCATTAAAAGCCCTTATGGAATGAATTTCATTGGTTGTAAGCAGATTCTTCAAAGAAAAAAGGCAAGATCAAGAATAGAAATAAAGGAGAAGGGGAGTCTTATTATACGACTGAAATGCCTCATTGGTATAAGCAGTAATGAGGTATATTGTAATAGATGGAAGGAGTTTCCTAAAACAAGAAGGACTTTTATTTTGAAGTGGCATAGCAGCTGTTGCTTGTTGCAGTATAAAGCTGCAGATCTGACTGGGTCATACAGTGCTGTGTCTGTTTTCACACTGCACTGGATTGAGCGTGGCGCAGGAACATAGAGTCTTGTACTGTATTTGGTTTCCTTGAAAAATCATTTGGTAATATTTTAACTAAGCAATGGCAGTTGGGGATGGTGAGTACCATTTTCTGGTTACGTGTTTTTATTATTTAAACATAACATAGTTGATCATTTAGTGATCAAAAAAATAAAAATAACCCTACAGTTGATATAATAAATATGAAGATTTGAATTTGTTGCACTTGAATGTTGAAAATCTTCGCTAAGCATATCAAATGCATATTATACCATAATTTATTTAAGATTTTTAACTATTTTAAATTAGTCTTAAAGCAGATATACTAGTAGTATACATCTACCAATAGAATAGTTCTATTTCTTTCAGTTGTGTCCCTGGTTTTATGTTCTGAGAAGCTGAATGTGTCATCTTACCTGGCTACAAATTAGTGTAAACATATCCTTACTTTATTGTGATATTATATTTTTTGTCAAATAAAAAGGATAATCTTTAAAGAACAAAGATATGTGAAAGTCCTGACCTAAGATTGCTGTATAATTCTGATCTTATAGAGTATGTTGTCATGGCCATCATCTTACACAATCTAGTTTGAGCATCTTGGCCCAATAAAGATTAAAATGTGTTTGTTTTAAATATGTTGTTCAAATATACTATTCTTTAGACATTTTATGATGTTATGGACAATGTATTGTTTCCTTTTATGGAACTTGATATACAAGCTCCATATCTTATATATATGTCAGCTTTAAGTTTATTCTGCAGCTTATATTTGGTGCTCAAGATAATCTGTTCATAGTTTAGTTTTCCAATAGGAATAAATAACATGTTTGAAGGTGAAAGCATTGAATTATTGCTAGCACATATCTATTTGTGAAATGAGTTTTCTTACTGTATGAATTCCCATATAGTAGGAAATATTTATATTCTAACACTTAGAAATCAAGAGAAACTTCAAATTTTAATATTATATACACTGTTAACTCACTGACAGTTTATAAATGTATTTGTGTTGCAAGTTCATCTCTGCTTACATAATTAAAGCAGTTTATGAGTTTTCTCAGTATAAGAAACCATCCTTTAATCTTCCTTATACTGGACAATCTGAAAACTTTTATCTATCTAACATTGCATAGATTGTTATAATAAATTTATAAATTATAATGTTTGTATTTAGATTAATCATCATTTTGTGCTAGCTTTGCATGTGGAAAAAGTTATTGTTATGTTTTATACATTTCGGTAAAGTGAGATTTTATTTTCTCTGTAACATATCTTAAAGCTTTCTGGAATACAGCCAGATTCTAAACAATCTTATTAAACATAGTAAAGAGTGTCTTTTATAGATTTGCTTATTTGCATTATTTATGGACTCATTTTTAATCAGTACATTATTTACTTTAAATACAGTAGCAAAGTATGCTTGAATAACTATCATGGCAAGAATGTAATTTTTATGCCAAGTATTTGGTTTCTAAATGAAATAATGCAGCATGATTTCAGGTAACCTTAGTATGAAAAAGCCTTGAGTAAATGTTAGATACAATTGCAGTCCTCTAAAAGATTCTGTAAGTATATTGTAAGTTGAATTGGGAAGTAATTAAGGAATTATCCATATAAATTATGGTCATAATAAAGAGACAGTGTAGTATATTGGTGATGTGTTGAATTTGCACCCAAATGCAAATCCAGTCTTGATTATTGGGAAATTTACTCTGGGTGACTTTAATTCTAATACTACTAAAAAAATGATAGAGATTAGTTCTTGAGGTATACATTTGTGTGTGAGAGAGAGAGATAGAGAGAAAGGTTTTGAGATTCTATCTTAACATATTTGTTATGTGTTGTTACAGTGCAGGGCAGAAGATCAATTTGTACAATTTAAGATCCCATCAGCAAGATATT